CATTCACATAAAAAGCATTCAGCACCTGGAGACTAGTGTGCTAACTCTTGAAGGCTAGAACATGAACTGAAATATATTTAAATACAATATTAGAATTAATAACCTAAAGCTTACCATGATGTATGATAGCCCCGAGTACACGTGCTGTTTGTCGGTGTGCCTTCTGCCAGCTAGGATAATAGCTACTTTATCTCCAGGCTCTTGCAGCAGGAGCAATAACATCTGAAAGAAGCCAACTGCTGGTGGTAAGCTGGGGGATAATTCAGAGTTTAGCCTAAGGCTCCCTCTGGAGTCAAAGGAGAGAGATCGGTGCCTCCAAGGAGGGATTCAGAGCAGGGACCTGAGCGGCTTTGGGGAGCCCTGCCTAGGGAAAACCCGGGGAGGTACTCTCCCTACGCCTCGCTGGAGGTATGCCACTGCAGGGGCAAACTTGGCCTGAGCAGCCACTTTCTGGGTTTTCCCCTGTTTCCAGGGAAGAACAAAACCTGCTAATCTAAATTAGGCTGCAACGCTGGGACAAAGGCATACCGCATAGCACATTGCAAAGGTAAGGGACATTGCCCAAACAGATGTTGTGCTTGCTTAAGCATTACCTAAAGTTCAGTTAATTAGGCAATAATCTCTAAGCTCTGGCTGATTTTAGGGGCAGTAGTTTTTCTTTTTGTACTATTGCATATCCCATCCACGTGGATCTAGTTTTCAAGTATGACAAGTGATGCTGTATGTTGGGTAAGCTGCCCAAGGGTTTGATTTTCAGAAGGCGTATGTCCGAGTCCACAAGTCAGGCCCTCACAAGCTGTAAGAACCACATAAATTAAACACCCAAAAACCTGACATAATTTTAGAAAAGCTCAGACCCTGTATTTGGAGGAGTTTGAAGGCACTTATGAGATATTCTTTGTTCAAAAACAGTTCAGAGAAGCCTTGGGATTCCCACTGCTTTTAGTTTAGTTTTCAGATGTCTGCTGTGCTGCTGCTATCTGCTCTTTTCACAGTCGTGACTATAAAACCAACACCTGTGGAAATAGTCTTGATACTAATAGGACCATATTTATTTGGGGAAGACAGCCAATCATTTCTACTAGAACCTGAACTCCTTTAATATAATGAGTAGTACTTAAGCAATTAATTGATGTTGTTTATCCATACATCAGCTCCAAAATACACAAAGAAATACATCTCTTATCAGATACTTCCAATCACAAAACTAAGCTTGGTACATCATAAATTTTTCCTACTCTACAATGCGGGCTGGGCTGGAATAGGTCATAGATGTTACTCATGATCTGGGAAGGGCTGCTAAAAGTGAGCAGAAACATGCCAAAATCGGAGGGAGCCTTTCTGTTGACTGCAAAAGCCTTGCAATCACATCTACGGTGCTGAATATTTTATCTACTCCTAAAAGTTGTGACATGTATCATTAGCTACTATGAGATTTAAGCAAGCATGTGACAGCTTGTTCCAACGCAAAGCATGGCAATTGTGTTTAAGGACGGTCTGCTTTCCAAATCTTCAGGGTATTTTTTGGCTTTGGGGGAAGGGGCTGGTGAACTCCTGTCAAGATGACTTTAAAAACCCCTCTTGGAATCTGTCCGTACCCTGACTCCTCTAAATAAACTTACCGATACTTAGCAATAAAAAGTGTAATGAACACAATGAGCATTCCTGATACAATTAGCATAGCTGGAGAAAGTTTTTTTGGTTAGGTTTTGAAATATTTATGATTCGATTAATGAAACAAATAAACAGGACACCACTGTCTTGTTCTGATATCAAAAGGTCTTTTGCCTCCTGGGCAGGTAGAGCTTTCATACAAAGCAGAGGACAAACTCTGCAATGCCCCAGCTTGAAGGGAGGTTGGTTTGCCAGTAAGAAACTTGCTAAATCAATGCATGTAGTTTTTCCCTTTTCCTTAATTTACCATAGAAAACACTAGGAAATATAGTAGTTCAATGCTTAAGAATCCCTTTTGCTACCTGTGTGTCGATAAGAAAATGCTTTCATGTGTTTTTTTCTTTGAAATTGTGTAAGACTAACCATTACATATTTAACACGTAATTAAACATTAAACTTTAGCCAGACACAGTCGTCATACTCCCTCCATCCCCAGAAAAAAAAAGGAAGCAATTAATCTTTAAATCCTTTTTAATAAATGAATATTCATTCATCAATATTTTCATAAAGCATCTCTTCATCATTCCATTTTACTGTTCTTTTATTTTTCACTGCTGAAGAATACCAAAAATACATAGATGTGCCTTCAGCAAAAAAGACTGGGTTTTAGTTTATCTTTACAATGGGATGAAATCAACTTAGAGTTAAACCACCATAATATTTCTACTGTTTATTGACCCTTTGGGCTATAACACAAGACGGTTCCATTTTTTTTTTAATGCCTTTTACAAACAAATAATGTGTAAATGCTATTTATAGTAATGTTGAGTTAGAAAGGAGTTAATTAGCTATGAAATACATTACTCTGGTGCAATTTGGTTGAAATTACCATTTTTAGTCTTAAAGCCATCTATGGTTAAAATCATACACTGCAGCTAGCGTAAAGGGACAAGAGCCAGAAAATGGGAGGTCAAGGCAAACACTGTTTTTAACACATGGTTGTGTGTGTGTGTCTGCGTGTAAGCGGTGCTGGGACTGGAGGAAGGGAATTGGCAAAAAAAGGCACAAAAATGCGTGTTAAAGATGAAGTGTTAACCTTAAGTGAGAATTTCCTGGCTTTTTTCAAGTCAAACCAAGACTTGGACTTGTTCAAGGTTCAAGCTGCTCGTGCCCCATGGAGCTCAGCTAGACTGATGAATATGGAATCTCATGAAAAAGCTGAAATGTGCAACTGCCCACTTTTTGTGATGAGAGGCAAGGTGGGGAGTACGCTTTCATGAACCGGGCTGCAGTACCACACTGCCCTCCAGCTGTGCAAAGGGTAAGAGGGGAAGAGTACTCAGAGACACGGTTCTCTTGCCCATGCAGGGTCCTGAAAATGCACATTGCCTCTTTGCTCTGGCCAGACAGTAATTTTCCATCTGCTTGAAAATCCTGGCTGAAGCCACTGGTGAACTGATTTCAGTGGGAGTTGGAGTACACATTTCTATCACAACTAAAAAGTCTCTTCTTCTTGTTGAAGATCTCTGCCTGACCACACGATTTCTAGGAGCTGGAGCTTAAAGAAAAGAGAGAACTGTGATTAAATCATGAGGGTGGGACCACTCTCTTCTTGAATCCCATTTTTCAGGGTAGTTCTTTAGGGCATTTACTGAAAGACTTGCTCGAAGATTATTAGGATAATTTTTTTAAACAAAGCCTACAGGTTTTATGTTTTATTAAAATCACATTTTTTGTTTAATTATATTTTGTTATTAGGATAAAAACTTGGGAGGGCTTTTCAACAATTCTATCAAATATGTACTTTGGGAGGGTGTTAATTGTTTAGTTACTTTGATTATAATGATGACAATGTGCTCTGTAATCCCTTCACAGTTTGAAGAGATATTAGAGAGCTCATAATACATTGTGGTTTACCAATGGGAGCTAATACTGAGGAGCTTTTGAAAACCAAGTTTTTCTGCTCCAGCTATACGGGTTCCTTTGAGGCTCCTCATATCGTAGAGTTGTCTGCAGATACAGTGCTTAAAAACTGCAGTTACAGCCGCTTTGCGCCACTGCCAAGGATGCAGCAGGACTGCGGTGCTGATCCTGCACACGCTGGCAGCTGGGGTTACGGTGAACGCTACCAGCGGGGGATCGCATCGCAGCCTTGCTGCAAGGCAGCTGTGGGGAGCCCATTCCGGTTCAAGGAGCAGCCCCGAGGATGGGATTACAACACAGACCTTGCAACCTAGGTTCGTCTATCCTGAATTTCAGCCCAGAGCAAAGTTTCACAGCTCAGCTGCAAATAGTCAGGGGTGGGAACAGTAACGGACCGTATGTGGCTGGGCTGGTTTTGGCTGGGGTAGAGTTAATTTGAGGGGTTAAACCACAACCATGGCAGCAACACAAGTATCATTGTTCTACTCACAGATCAATCAAGTACTAGCGAGAACACGAGTCATTACAGAGCCAAGGCAGCCTTTTCAGTTTCATCCCTTTTTGGTGTTTTTGATAGATGCGTATCCACACATTTTTCTCCCACAGACGTCTCTAACTAGCATCCAAAGCTCTCTATCTGCCAAAAATTCCCATCAATGTCCAGAGGAGTTCTACGTGCAGAGAACTGGCGGGGCCGCGCCTGAATTATTTTTTTAGATCTATTTATGCTACTGTATCTGTTGTTATTTGTGAATGTACATGATAGAAACACTTTACAAAAAATATATCTTCTTTTCTTTAGAAAGGTTTAGTTCTGATAAATAACAAATGAAGTTTACAGATCTGAAATTGGCATACCTTGACAACTACAATCTACTAGACTGAAAAAAGGTGGGATCCTGGTGAGGGAACAAATTGGGATGAAAACCAAAGTGGTCACATTTGCATGAAGGATATGTTTGAACATAGCTGATGGTGAAAAAAAACATACTGTTTGCTATCTCTTGTGATCTGTGACTGCAGCACACTAGCTTGGAAAGTGTATGTATACTTTTGGTATATAAATAAAATATGAAAATGCTCCAGCAGAATCAAAGTATTGGAAGTGCTCTATTTGCTCAATTCTAGAGAATAAAAAGTTGTAACATCACAGAAACAAAAATATGACATAGCATGCGGTCACGATAGCAAGCACAGGGAAGAAAAATATTGAGAAAATATACTTATATGCATATTATGCAAATATATTTTACGTTAACATACAATGTTATAAGAATGTTAAATAATGTGAATGGATGTTTAAAAAAGGCTACAGCTAGATGGTTTCATGTCGAAGTAGCAAATAACCTGAGACGTCTTCTATGCTTTCACTGGAATAACAATCTTTAAATCTACAGCAGATGTAGAACACATTGACAGTAGTTGAATTCTCAGCTAAATTATACTAAAAATGTGCTGTTCTCTTTCAAAATGACATGGCAGCTGGAACCAGTCCAAGGGAAGGAAAATGTGCTGTACATTTACAGTACTTACAAAAGATTCATTTCGCTGTTGATGGACACTTAAAATACTTGTTTGAAATATTATGAACATGTATATGTCTCCAAAGACCTAGAGCAACACTCCCACGATCAGCTTGCTTACTGCAGAAGAGAAAGCAAGAGATCATTAAAAACGATGCCCGTTCAGGACTGGGAACAAATGTATTATGACATCTATAAACCCAAGAAATTTTAGCAAAGAAAAATAAATTTGGCTTGATGAAATCGTACTTGATGGATCGGCAATATAAATGACTTATTTTAAACTTACCAGTGTAACTCTACCACTTTATGATTAGCGTGTATGGCAGCATTTACAAACAATGTTACTAAATACTGACTTTATACACAATTACAGCTGTTTGAAAACTTCTATGACAATCAAAGTTTTGTAGTGATAATATACAACACTTACTTTCTCAAGGCTTGTTGTTTTGACGACACCTGCCTTTCGATTTAAAAAGTTCCTCTGAAGTGCATTCTATGTTAAAGTGTCCATAACCTCAGAACGAATGTGTGTACATGTGTGTGTGCATACATATACTTTTGCTTTGCAGTGTGTGCTTTTATATACACACAATTTTTTGGTATACGTATTCACACATACATGAGTATGGTCTACATAGTAAAAGTTCATATATATATATATTTTAATATATAAATATATATATAAACTCTGCAGGCAAGTAGTACTTCACTTGTTGTAATTGAAGTCCTTTAAAAAAGTTCAGTCACTCAGTTAACATAGTATAGCCAGTAAATTAAGTTGAAAAGAGAAAATGTGAATGGAAACACCATTCTTGACCATCTGTCGATGGCATTCACATCTGTTAGATCAGGGATTTTTATTTTCAATTGCGAAGACCTTCTTCGTAAATGGCCCCTCTTGCTGTGGGAGCCTGTTCTTTCTGACGAACGCCTTCCAAGGCTTTCGCGATGTGAGCTTTGTTTTCTGTACTGGATTCCTGAGTTGTCAAAGGATATCATTGAATTTCTGGCATCCGTAACGCTGGTGGTGACCTCGTTGCTTGCCACCTCGTTGTGAATTTCAAGCGACGTTAGCAGAATGTTTCCATGGGTATCCACCTAGGGGGCAACAACAGAAATATAAATTGTTTCAGAAGACTTGACCTCTATCAGCAGAATGTGGGTGTATTTAAATCTCCAAACCCATATATATATTTGAAGAAAGCATGTATTCATTTTAAGCATGCGATAATCTTAGAAAAAAATGGCAATACTCAGCTGCTTAAAATCAGACAAGTACTTAAATACTTTCATAAACAGGGTTATCATCATACTACCAACATCCAGTACAAAACCGTACTTGGCAAAACCAATCAGTTTCCTCTCCCTCTAAACCAGCCGCGTTTTAAAGGATGGTGTAGTTCAGTGAAATCTCTACGTTGCTGGCGGTGGGGGGGGAGGGTAAGGGATGGATTCTCTCTCTGCTACCTACATGCGAAGTTTGCTAAAATCACAAGAATAGTTCTGATCTGCTGAACAATTTTGCATTTCGGAATCACAGAGCTTATCTACAACTTCTCTCTTAAGCTTTTCCTTCCGAAGTCATTTGCACGGTTTTGCAATAATGGCAATGCTTAACTGTGCGGCTCTTCCACCTGGGTAAGTGATCTTAAAAAGCAATGAACTTAGACAAGGACGAAAGCTGCTGAACAGAGGGAACAGGTGGCACTCTTCCCTCCCACCTCCATATCCAAGAGGCGGTGAGCAGAGTGTTGAGTACAGGTGAGCAACACAATGCCATTTTTAGTAAGTAAATGGAAGGTTATGATCATTTAGAGTCCTTAAATTCCAGTCCAGACTCTCTAGTCCCCCTGAGTACCAATAGAGGAGGAGCAGCGCGGAGTTGGGTATGGCTCCTTCAATCCAGAAAAACTTCCAGTTTCCATGAGTGGCGCTGATGGGCAGTCCCAAACGATGCTGCCTTAGTCTCCATTTGGTAGCTTCAGTAGCGGGGCACCACATGCCCTTGTGCCCCATGCCCTGCATGCTGGAGGACAGGCAGAGAAGACAGCTGATGCAGGGATCAGCTCCAATTTTCCTGCCTGCTTTTGGGAAAGGAAAATAACATCTGAATGTAAAATAAACGTTCTGTAGTGGGTATTTTCAGCCAGTTAACGCACGTGTGACTCTGTTCAAGTGAAGTCGGTTCCCCATGTCAGAAATAGACAGTGAATCATGGCATATGGGATAATTTCCAGTTTTATGTATACAATTTATTCATCCACAATTCATCCTGCAATTAATACATTTTTCTAACCTGCCACATGATCTAGCTGTGTTAACTGCGCAGCAGTTGAACATCTCATCCTAGAAGCATCTGTTTGAAAGTGGTTGAGAAAACACACTATCGTCATGGCCTTTTTGAAGTTTGTACAGTCATCCAATACCACGTCCTTTGCAAGCTTTGTGTGATGCATTAAAAGTATGCATAGCTATGTGTCTGTCCATATGCATTTAGCTTTTTTCAGTCTTGTTAAAATTCTGTAAAATGGATGTTTCTTTCATCAATTATTGATGCTACAGCTTATCTTTTCTCAGTGAAAGCAATTATGATAGTATATCAGTAATGCTTTGCCAAGCTTCTTGCAAATGGAAAAAGAATATAAAATGCTATGAATGACATAGAGGCAAGCAGAAAAAAAAATCCTAAGGTATCCAACAAATCCTGCTGTTGTAGGCAACAGTACATTATGCTGATGAGTGCCTATAAATAAACAACGTGAACCAAAATAATGGGGTGGAGAAGCCTCAGCGGTGATTAGGAAGAATTTATTTTCCCCATGGCAGAAACCCATTGGGTACAAAAGTATGAGCTTGAGGTTTGTAGAAACGAGTTCACGCTGTTCAGCAGTATCTGTAACCAGGGAATACACACAGCTGTAAAATACAACCATGGACATCATCACTACTTACGGTGGTCTCTGAAAAACACTGATTTGGTTTTCTGGGGTTTTTTTTTTTTTTCACAAAGAGTACAAATTATGATCAGGATTTGTAACAGCATTGTGTAAAATATCTCCACAATCTGCACTTTCCTCATGAAGCTTAAAACTAAATCTTTCATCCAGGCCCCCACGGCGTCACATGTCATCTCCTTTCCCATCTCCTCCCAGGCTTTGAGAAATGTCCTTCAGCTTACTAAAAATGCCCCAGCAGAGACCATTTTGCTGGGCTCCACCCTGACAGCACTGCCTTCCCCTTGCAGGTGTCTGCTCCCTTTCCTTCCACCACCACAGATGTCAGCTGCTCTTTCCCACTTCCTGATCTCTCCTGATTCTGTCTGCCACCTACATATATACAGATATTAGCCTGTCCATGGGTGCTTTGTCCTTCTACACCGAGTCCTGGATTTTTGTAGGTGAGGTGTCAGCTGAAAGCTTGTACATCTATGTGTTCAGGCTTCTCCTGCCCAAGGAAAGTATTAATTTGATTCCACTTATTTCATCACACCGCATAGCCTGCTTCATCTTATCTGCCAACCTTACATGCCACCCTAACGTAGCTTCTGCCTCTGATCTGCCAATGATGCTGCCACTTTTCACTGCTCGTCACTGCATCTATAAATCAACCCAGAAAGGTGGTCAAGAAGGTTGCAACATTTGTGTAAATGCTTTGCCTGAACATACCATGATGTCCTATGAGGTTGTATGACAGCATATATTTTCTCAAAATATCAAATGAGACATATTTGGAAACATACTTTTGAAATGCATCTCTCTGTTAATAGAGCAACGGACTTGCATGTCAAATACAAGGACGGAGCAGATGGAGAGGAGAAGAGGTCTGCAGAAACTGAAATCAGGCTTCTGGTCTGCAGATATTCTTGAGACCTATTCCTGCAAACTGTATTGATTCCTTCAGAGGTTTTGGATAAACCACCTAAGCTCTCAACAAAGTTAGAACAATATATGCTAATGCTTTGTGACAATCTTAAGGTAATGTTCTGAAATATGAATACTTAATGCATGCAACATGTTAAAAAGTATTTGCACGTAAGCATGTCTTCTGAATGATTTAAGCAATGATTTAAATGACTGACAAATGCACACAAGCTCTCTCAATGAATAAAGAAGCAAACCAATAATGGCAGGGTATCCTGTGCAAGTCGACTCATGTTTGCCCGAATATACAGGTAAGGCAAAATCCTCCATGAGTGAACATGAGTTGCAGGGATTTGGACTCGATGTCCCTTATGTGTTCCTTCCAACTTGAGATATTCTATAATTCTATGAGTGCAGACTGGTGGCTCCAGGGAAACTGTTATTCCAGGTACAGATACAGACTAAGAAAAGCAGCTGAACCGATTACAGTCATGGCTACACATGATGAACAAGGCCAATGTCTTTGATAAAACTTTAGTTTTACTCCTTATGAGCCTTAGAATATTATTTTTTCACCTGGCTCAGAAATGTCACTGTCTATGCACTGGAAATTCTCCCCAAAATGTTAACACCAGGCTTTGCTCACGAACCTTGTTATAAATTGGAGAGATGACATTGTGTATTTGGCCAATTTCCCCTCACTCCTTACCATCCTGCTTTAACCTAAAGATTTCCCTCGTTTCCCTGGGCCTCCGTGCTTCTTGTAGTCTTTTTTCTGCCTGACCGTGGCTCCACCTGAAGCCATTCATTCCCGTTTCCCCGCTGTGGTCTCCACTGCCGGTGCTCCCATCTCCTCCCTGACACAAGCCAGGGCTGGTTGTTTCCATGGAGTGTTTCCCAGTGAGCTCATCAAAGCAGCTGGAAACAGCTGAGTACCAAATCATTAATTAAGCCCCTGCTGAATCAGCATGGATCCAAATATACAAAACTGATGCTCTTATTTCAGAATCAATTTTAATCAAATCCCATCCCTCCCACCTCTGAACAACTACAGCTCCTGCACCAGGGTGAAGTGATTGAATCTCACATAACTCCATTTGGAGGCTGAGAACCATGAAATGCTGTGAGATGTTTTACACACGGAAAAACGGATTCACTTTTGAAGGTTCACCGTTTCTGAACTATAAATGTTACAGTACAAAGAAAAAATCCAAAGAGACTAGCAGCCTAATGTCATCACACAAAAAGGACCATAACTTACCTAACTGAAGCCAGAACGAGGAGAATTAAGATAAGGCTCACAAAGAACCTCTGGTCCTTGCTCTTGGAGGACTACTACGTCTCCAATAGGCTCAACTTGGATTGTACGTTGTAGATATGAAACTTCAGCACCCTTTTTACACCTGGAAAGTCCTGAACCCACTTCTTAATTCTAGGCAAGATACTGGCTCGTTTAGATGTTAAGTATTATATTTTTAAAGAAATGCAAGCCAAGAGCTGCTGTTGAAGACCTTTCTCCAATCAAGATTCTTGGAACACTTTAGCTTTAATGCCAGTTTGGAAACATTTTACTAGGGTCCGGAAACTACATAAAGTTTGATTTACTATTAGGTAGTGTCTGAATTATTTCACGTTCATTTAGTGCTCTGTTTAATATTCCATAAATTTAAAGGAGTACTTTACAATGACATCTCTTTTTCCTCGTAAGTCTTTCACTCTACTACACAAAAAGAAAGAAAGGAAGCATTTTGCTCAAACCCCATAGGTATGTTTAGGAGTTCATCAATCTCAAATTTTTAAACACCATGTAAACACTTTCCATCATATGAAGCAATACAAATGCAAATAGCAGGTTTAGACAGCATGAAAAGCTGTCTCTGTAGTTAGTCTTGCATTATTTTACAGCAAAATTACTATTCAAGTACATTATCCCACAAAATAGACCTCCCCTTAAAATTATAATAAAATGGAAATTATTTTTGGTGGAAATTGTAAACTAGACCCCAGCTACCTGATTCCCACCTGATCCGCCCTGGTGCAAGCATCTATGGTTATGCAAGGGGCAAACTACCTCGTAGCAGTTTTCATCTTCTTTGCTTACATATAAATGGCTTTCCAACATGTGGAACAGTACGTGATCAGGCCCTAAGTGTTATCTGTGCTTAAAGCAAAATTCATTGACCACATTATGCCTTGGATATTTTTAAAATAATTTAAAACTGCAAGTACAACAAAAATGATAGTGTTGAGTGTTCTCCCTGAGTCTAGAAGTTGATACTTCTCTCAATACCATTGTAATATGTTTATATTAATTAATAAGCACAAAAAAATGAAAGAGACAATTATGTTATATCAACCTAGTAGATGAACCCAGGGTAGCCAGCAGAACTGGGAAGATGGAAAGATCTTGAAAAAAAAGGAAAGTATGAAGAATAAAAAAAATTAGGAAGTTGCATCTTAGTATCACTGTCTACCAAGTAAGAATAGAGTTTGACAATTAACCTTGGTATACTTGAACGGATGGAGAACAGGAAACGAATGTATGGTCATCCCTTCCCCTGTATTTTACATTGTCTGTGGTTTCTTAAAATCTCTGGGTTCTGCTGTGGATTGCATGTACAATCCTTATTACCATCTCTGGATTTGCACCATTCATACTTGTGCAAAGTGGCTGTAGAACAACATTAGTAGACACATGACTCTCCCACTGAACACTGATTGTCCCCATTGTAAGCACTACAGGACAAGAGTTCTTCCCACAAGAACTGTGCTCATCACCCTTGACAGATATTTTCACAACTTGGCACCTACTCATCACACTCATGTTTCAGAAATATCCCACCATTCAAAACAGCACTGAAAAAAGTATCCGGGAAAGATGAAGATGCACAGAGGAATACTGGCAGCTTTGCTATTCTCATATTTCCTGATTTAAACTGAGTGATAATTCTGCCACAGCAGCCAAGATATTCATTCTCAGAATAAAATCCCACTTGTGAGAACGGTTGCTACAATTAACAATTCTTTAAAAGCGCTAAGTAGATGTAAGTGGCCTGAGCCTCTATTCTCAGCAATGCCTGGTGGGAAGCTGCCGCCTTGGCCTGACAGCGGGGGTTTGAGCCAGGAATCTCCAGAGCTAAAAAAACATGCAGGAACTGCCTGACAAGAAGGGCCTTTTTATAAAGGGTTATGCATTATTTTTGTTCAAAGGGAGCTCTTCTCGCATGTCTGACAGCTACAGGGGGTTGAAGCTTGAATAAGCTTGTGCGATAGTTACCCTCCTGATTGATACCCTGGGGCTGAACTTTTGGTCCCACCAAACTGAAAACGTGAATTGCCACAGCTTGAACTAAGAAGCAATATTTTTAGCAGGGACCTGTAACAAATCATAACCTCTGTGGATTGGCCCAGAAGGAGCAATGTCCAAAACACACGCTCACCGGCTGATCATGCCAGTAGCCTCTATCACAAGAGTGAACAACAAGTGAGAACAGGATTGCCTTAGAGCTGTCTCATGCTGATTTAGTTGTAAATTAGGCTGTACCTGAGCCTTATTTAAAAGAAACAATTTATGTAGCAAAACTGAAAGTGCACAGAGAGCTACAAATGAAGCCTGAATCCGCCAATGCAAACAGGAGAAACAGAATTGATCCGTAACAATGATAATCAATTTTCAAGGGAAAACATTTTTACAGGCCGCCTATTCTTCTCTGACAGTTTTTCCACAAACAGAGGACTTCAATTTAGGCACTGATACCATGGGCAGAATAAATATTTTACGAAAAATCAAGATTCAGTTCTTCCTTTAGCCTAGAGCTTGTCCTTATATATGAACCAGTGTATCAAGGTTTTCAAGAGAGAGTTTTCAATCCAAAACTGGTACGTGTACGAAAATTCGTTTACACAAAAAAAGGAGCATCCTATGTTCATCTCCAGTAACTGTCGTTTATTGGGAAAAGGCTGGAAAAGTTCAGCGAGGAATACTATTTACAGTGCATTATCTGAAATAAAATACGATGCAAAAGCAGTCAAAAGAAGAGATGGCTATGTGTGAAATTTTCTTTGTAGTCAGCTGCTGATCCACAGATGAGTCATTTGTAAAGGCTCGCTCAGGTTTCATCTCATCACCAGCTCTGAATCTTCTGAAACCATTTCCAGAGATTCAGTTTAGTCAGACGTGGCTCAGTCATCGTCCCACCTTCAGCAGTGCTACACGGGAGAATACAGGGCAGAGTTTTCCTCTCCCCACTGCTTTTCTTTGTCACCTCTGCAATGCGAGGACACTGGCTGTTCTGTTTGCATGCTAGAAGGGCTCTTCTTTCTCTAACTCCAGGAGCTATTGGGCTCGTTGGCTTTAACAGATGGGCGGAGCTGGACAGAAAGCTGGACAGTAACGGGAGCAGTGAAGCCAACAGGCAGCTCGGCGGCGGCGGCAGCTCGTGGAGCCCTCCTCAACACAGCAAGCCTCAGTGGCAGCGTATCAGGAACAACTCAAAGAAAAGTGCCTAAAAGCTTGGCGTTGAAGAGGCGTGTACATAGCAGCAGCAGCAACATGGAGGTGGCTGTGCCATTTTCGGCTTTTCAAACCCATAACCTCTGATGCAGGACAATGCAAATGCATGCATTAGGAAGCAGAGTTATTGAGCATGAACAGTGGCTGCTTTGCAAAGCAATTACCGAATAAAACACAAACATACCCACATCTGTGGATTTTGTGGCCTAGAACATTTTTGTTATTAAAGCTCTCCTGCTCTACAATCAAATAAGACTAGGAAAGCATGAAAAGCCCTTTTGCTACTGTAAGAGGAGTGTTTATAACCAAGCCTGCTAGCTTGCATGCCAGACTTCAGTTCTCTGACGTGTAAAAAATGAACTACAATACCAGCATCCATCCTGGTTCTACTGGGTTCCAGGGTCTAAAACGCTCCCGAGTGAAAATAACGTGGCATTTTCCCTCGTTCTCCTCTTGTTCCCTTTGCCTGAGAGACAGACACTGCCTCAGCAGCACTCCCAGTCTCGGGTACCATAAAAGCAACGCTTGAACTCAGGGCCTGAACGCCAGGCAATATGTTGTGCTGCCTCTGCTCTGCTAGTGCTACCTCCCAACACAAACAAGTGATTTCCACAGTACCGCAGCCCCTCCTGTCTGAGCACTGTCAGGCTGGACCTGATACAGCACAGAGTTGTTCTGTCACTATACCCACTAGTTACAGCATCTGATGTGGACAATAAATGGGCTAATGTTTATTTATTTATTTGGTTTGGTTTGTTTTTTCGTTGTTTTTTTTCTAGTGCCCTGAGCTAGCACTCTAAATCAATGACAGCGAGCTCATGCACATGGTTTGTACACAAGCAAATCCAATTACTAAAACAGAACAGCAACACAAATAAACTCAAAATGGTAGTCTTAGAGACAAACTAAAAATAATGCCTTCTTCCAGTTTTATATCTCAACCATTTTCAATCTTCTTTCCAGCACAGCGTACATTTTGACAGTCATCAAATAATGGCGATAGCTGCAAAGGGGGCTGCCTGTTTTTAGGCACTCTCCCATTCTTTAAAAATGTTGCTCAGCCCCAAATCACGTGAGATTTGAAATATTTCCCAGGATTAGAAACCTTCCCTTTCTGAATGGAAATACACTCCATGGAAGCCTGAAGCCTCACCAAAATGAAGACGACAGTAATGTCATTGAACTCACACAAGGTAGTCTTCACCTGTGGCTTTGAGCCTCCCTTACCGTGCAGTACGCCCTCCAGTTTGTGAGCCTCTCCTAGGACATCCAGCCCCTGAGTCCCAACTCTAAAGCAAGAAGCAAGCAAACACCAAGCAGCCGCTATTTGCATCAGATTCGATGATCTTCAAGAGCCACCAAAGAACAGGTTGGAAGTTAATGCCTCTTTACTGCTCCTGAAGAGGTCAGAGCCAAGGTTGCAGAGCTTTCAGGTACTGTCTTCCATGGCAAGTATGTAAAAAAAGTCTGGCATGACCACCTGTCCTGCTACATCCATGGATGCCTGTACAGCATGGTACACGGTGGGCATAATCCAGAATCATGGCAACCATTTTCCTTCTTCAGGGCTATGGTGTCTGGAAGCCCTGGTAATCTTTGTCCAAAGTAGATCTGCTAGATGGATTTCCCCTGTGCTGCTCATCCTGAAGGCAATGGGACCTCTCACCTGCTCTGAGCAATTCCCTCTGCTTTGCATTTGCAAATGTTTTTCAAATCAGAAATTCAGATTTGACATCCTGCATTCACTGAATCTGCATTTTCTGTCTATGCTTTGTTTCAAAGGAAGATTTCTGATCAACTCGATCTAATGTCCCTGTCTTTTCCTGTTGTATGCTGGCACTGCTTCTCTGAAGGCACTGAATCCAGTGACTGCAACGAAGCTCAGTTGACTTCACCAGCTGAGGCCTGGAGACAAAATGTTTTCCGCAGAGAATGGGACCGTACCTCATTATTTATCCCAGATCATTTGAACAGCAAATATTCACAGTCAGTATGAGTATATGGGTTTCTACAAAGCATACAGAGTTCCCTTTCACAGCTGGGACTACAAGGGACAAAGCAACACGCTCTTTTTTCACCTCTGGTGTGCTGAATTTGTAGCCTAATTTCCTTCATGCATGGTTGATATTAAACCAGCAGAAAAGTCAGAAAAGTCCACGATATTTGCTTCGGATGGTCCGGAAAGAAAAGGTCAAAAGTGAGAAAAAAAAGGGTTGGTATATGGTATGATCAGATCTGGGATATAAAAATGACATGATCTGGGTATGAAAACCCCTCATTTTCATTAGTTAAGGTTCGTATGCTTCTTTTGACAATATAGACCAATTGATCTCAAGATAGAAGAACAGTCAGGCATGGGGTGCTATTGGGGCCATTAACAAGACTTGTACTGAATTATGTAAATCATTTAAATGGATGAGGTTCACCAGATGGTTTCCATTAGGAGAACCGAACCTTAGTGCATACATCTGCATTACCTGCTTGCAGCTAAAATCTTCTCCATTGCTTTCAATTCTGATACTCTTTTTTTTTCCCATCTGCTTTTTTTATTATTGTAACTATTTATTTTTCCAGGAAAGGGAATTCATTCTTCCTGCTAGCTTAGTCCTAAGCAGTGCTGCCAACTGTGATGAGAATTTGGTTTCATAATATAATGGACAAAAATGAGTTTACTGGTTCAAAAATTATTTCACAGATATGAGTGTCAATAATTATGTGTAGTTCTGCATTACATTTGCTATAGCAGACAGAATCATTATGATCAAAAACACAGCTTGAAATTACTTTTATGATACTGGTATTTAATAAACAGGTAGTAGTTTTGTCACTGTGAACTCTTCTAATTTATAGCCGATAGAAAAAACAGTCTTACTCAACAGAATGAATGAAAAAGCCTCACTGGGAGCATTTAAGCCAAAAAGGTGTTCTATTCAAACTGACATGGCTTGCTAACATCATATAGTGTTGAATACTTTGAATTTTTCTTCCAAAGGGGAAAAAAAAAGGGTATTCATTGGATGAAGTAATGCTCCAGGCAAGGAAATAGGCTGGAGCATAATCAGCACAGACCATGCCAATACTGTGCTTCAGAAATCAATCTGAAAGTTTCTCTAGGAATCGTAATTTTCTGCTGGTCTTAAACAGCAGCAGATGACAATGCCACACACAGCGGTTCATGTAAGCTAAGCTGGCCAATTAATTAGCATGGCAGAACTAATCCCTTGTCTGTTCTCTTCCATTCTAAATGTGTCTGCTCTAAGTGAAGTGAGAAAAAGTATGCTCAGATCCTGGACTCCCAGTATGTAGGTACTTAAACAAAATCACAAATTATATTTGATTTAAACAAATAAATGCCTTTGTAGATCTGGGCCTTTATTTTCAAGCTAGCTGCACTCCCATTGTTATCTTCTTTTTACAGTTACTTGTTATACAGATCATGCTCACTTTGATTTCTGTATGCCTAAATATATTCTTCTAGGTAGGTCCTTGAATATAAAAATGCCAAAGTTTGCACAAAAAGGAGATGTGGTTGGTGATGTTTTTATGCATGATTTTTTTGTTTATTTCATACAGTTAGTTTTTGTAATAAAAGAAAAGAGAGGCTATATATAGACTAAAGAATCCTACCCGGTTGCCTTCAAACTTTGAGCGATCGTTGTTTGCCTTTGCTGTTTTTTCTGCAAGTTTCTTCTGCCTTTGAGGGCCTTTTCCGAAGAAAATGTAGTTGACAAAGGCGTATTCAAGTAAGGCCAAGAAGACAAATACAAAGCAGCCCATAAGATACATGTCAATGGCTTTAACATACGGAATTTTAGGCAAAGTCTCTCGCAGATGAGTGTTGATTGTTGTCATAGTCAGCACAGTTGTAATTCCTACACAAAGAAAAAAGAGCACATACCTTACAACTCTAAGCAGATCACGCTTCAATTTTATTTTCCTTTTTGGCAAATTTGCCTTGTCAGTGTGAAGAAGCTTAAAAATTTGTGAAAGGTATCTCTCAGGTGACATCACTGCAAATGAAAGTAAAATTAAAGCTTGATGGATTATGATTCTGTTACAATATTCCCTTCATATCATCAGGGGGAACAGCTAACAAGGAGACCTGGCACCACTGCTGGGAGTTAACACAGCTTCATGGAAGCCAGTGTAGCTGTACTGAGGATCTCTTCCACGAAGAACAAACTGATCTGTGACAGGAAGGCAAATAGCCTGCCAAGCATTAAAAGGTGTGCTCTTACAGCACTGTGCTGCTCAACACAATGGCTAGAAGTTTTTAAAAAGTAACAAAACTAATTAGAGGACTGGACAGATAAAACCATGCGTACAGATTAAGGCAGAGCGTTCGTATAGACGGTGAAAGATTCCTCTCACGCAGTTTTAAATTTCTAAGAATTAAGCAGTTGGTTGAAGTTAGTCCTGTAGGGCCCCTCTGTAGCAGATGGAGAGAGACAGGCACTGTTCTAGAGCAGTTCATCCCATCTATTTTAGACACCTGTTTCAGGAAAGGACTATATAGAAGAGGGATTTGAGATGACTGGTTTAGAGCAGTAGTCTAATTTTTACATAGAAAGAAGTGAGATGAGCACTGAAAGGCAGACAGGTATGTGCATTTGTGGAAAGAAAAAGCCAAGGAGGGAGAGCAGCATTTTTATAGTGATCGACTGGACACTAATAAAGTACCTAGAAAATCTATAAGGTATGTCAAACCCTCATTTATTTACCTAAGGATGGATATAGCGCCTGAAAATATATTCCAGAACGCTGTTTTGAAAAGCCGGTAAGAAAAGCAAATTTATTGTAAGTCTGCCTGAATTCACAATAAACTGCAGGGTCTGTATCTCTGCTGGAAATTTCATGGGAATCACAAATCACAGGTGGTTGAAAACACTGATTTGTGGAATAAGACTACATTGGTAAAAGAGGCAAGCCATTCTAATAGGTCCCCTCCATTAATATTTTCTGATTCCATAATTACACCACCAGCTTGTAAGTAGCCACTAAAATGCAGGCAGAACAAAAATAAAGAACAAAAGAAAATTGCTTCCGTGTTATAAAGCGCAGCTTCTTTTACCTGAAGAGACAGAAATAAAGACAATGTAACTCAAAATCAAGCTGGTGGTGTGAACAGTGTCACTCCAGGGAACTGTAGTAGTAGCCTACCAGGTTCTGTAACAGATATTTTGTATATTTAGTAGGTCAGCGTCATGTGGTTTTCAGTGCTTTTCCTCTAAACTGTGAAACAAGCGTGTGTTGATGTCAGATGTTTCATGGCTTGAAATACAGCGGAGACACCCACAGCACAAGCTTGTTTAAAAATTGTACTGGGTATAACTCACCCAGTTCTGCAGTAGAAGGAGGAGTATAGTTGACACACTACTTTTACCTAAAGAAACTTTGACAAAGTCTCTAGAAAACCTCCATGCCAGCACAAGGAACAGGGGTGAGAAGGGTGGAGGACTGTAGCAAACACTATCATACATTTGCAGCCCAAGAGATTTCTCTAGCCTGAATTAGCTTCTCTCCTTGTAGCTGCTTCCTGTAAGGGATTCAAAGAATGAGCTAAGATCCAATTGATTCTTGTATCAGAAATCCCACAGATTCCTTTTAACACACCCTTGGCATCTCACTATCATCCCACAGATGCTTAGCAATGCCTAGGTCACAAGGGACTTACAAGCCTGCCCAGTGGGGGTTATAATGTCCACATTTTTGGTGCCTGTTCCCAGGCTGTAATCTAGATTCCAGAGGTAAGTCCGTAGATACCACATGGGGAGAGTTTGGTGGCTCTCTCGGTGATCCAGAAGATTAAGCACACTGAATAGAAAGGTGGCTATCGCTAACCAAAAGGAAATAACGTCCCCTGGGAGATCCTGACACCCTGCAGGCAAATGCCCTTCTGAAGATCAATAATTTCTTTTAAAGCACAGCTGGAGGAGAAGCAGCTGACACTCACCTATCATATAAAAACAGGGTAATCTTGTGATTATAGCCCTTCCCATGAGTGAGAACTCTTGAGATTATTTTCCTCCTCACTCAAAGGACTGAATTTAGGAACTTCTAGGGCTAACTAGCAAAAACTCAGTTTTGAACAGAATTGATAGTTTTGAACATTTCTCTTGAGATCAGCCCTATATCAGCCTCTATCTGCAGTGTCTTTAGCACATAGTCTCTGGAATGAGCTGGCCTTTGCTCCATGCCTGGGTTTCTCTGTTGAGGGAACTATTTGGTTCAGCGCAGGCTGGAGCACAGACGGCGTGTGCAGCGAGGGACCAGGGACAGGAGCAAAACATGGAAGTGAATGAACTAGAATCAGGCTCTTTCAGAGAACACAGGCTTCTTCCAGGGGTAGAGTAAAAGCTTGTCTCTATGTCTCTAAGGACTGCACAGGGAATTCTTCCTCTAACAAACAGCTAAGGCAGCAGGCCTTATCCTCCTGTGAACTGAGCTTTTCAGAGCCAGTTACCTATGTCCAAAGTTGCGATATTGCCTTTAAACTCTGATACCATTTCATATCAGCTTCAGACTCATAAGAGTGGCTATACAAAGGAACACAGGATTGGACCCATGGTACTGAACTTTATTATACAAACATGACAGACATAATCACCAAGGCACTAATTGTTTTCGCAGAAGAACCTATTAGATGGATTTTCGTCCTCTGAAAAGGACTTTCTACCAATCGGAAATAGAACATCTGGACTCCTGAGCTTGCCTTGAATGTACTCTCCGGCTTTTATTCTAATATTTGTGTTATCACAGTACAGTACTTGATGAACTTGTGCTACACAGAAATAGGCCACATGAGACAGTCCTGTTCCTTAAACAAGGAAAAACTGTGTGAACTCATTGTAGAAGGGTGTGGAAAGTCACTGGGTTTGGTAACTTCTGTCTATCCATCTGTTCTCTGCAGTCCTGGCCGGCATGTAAAAATCTAGATGCTGACTGATGTGTTTGAAGTGCTCCCCTCACTCGGTCATAATGTCTCCAGGGTGGACCTTTGGTATCCAGAAGTTCATTTATATGTACATCAGAGCTGTCTGGACTCTATGTCCCACCTCCCATTAAG